AGAGAGAGAGAGAGAGAGAGAGAGAGAGAGAGAGAGAGATGAAACAAATATTTTAATTATTTATAATTTAATTTATTTATATTTATTATATCGTAATGATATGAACACCTCATCATCACCATCATAATCACCAAATAATTATTAATTTAATCATATTATCGGGCGTAATTACTAGTTAATTATAATTGAATGCTATTTAGGGCTAGAATTATGATTGGTATGAGTTGTGGGCACTTGTATTAAGACACTCGAGTCTCCAGTGATTGTAATCCACACCTCATTCCCGCTCTCCATGTCATCCAAATTGAGTAACACTTCCGCACATTTAGCCGATCCCTCGTCACAGACCACTCCCGCCGACGACTCGCCCGTCACTACACCGTCGCTGACGGTCATCAAGTGCTGCAAGTCTTGGGCCACAATCACCCCCTCCTTCAGCACATCAGTCAAGTGTTTGCCGTCGATCACCATCTCATCCAACGAGCCGTCACTTGTCGTCATTTGATTGGCTCCAGAAGTAGAGGCACTTAATTGCAGATTAAAAGTCTGCGAATCGTTATTATTGGTCTCAATAGTAATCACTTCTTTGCCTTTCGCAGCGCACGACCGGCCGGTCTTAGGGACAGTCGCGGCCGACAACTGGTGTATGGCATCTGTAGTGATGCCCCCGCGCGCCAACTTCTCCAACAGATCCGTCGTATTGATCACTGTCTGCACCTTCTTATGACCCGCAGTGGTCGTCACTTTCGCAGCACTACTGCGGCCGACGGCTGCCGTCGAGTGAACGCGCATTTTGCTGATAATCACATCTTTAGATCGCTTGAGAATACTGGCGGCTAAGGCCTGATTGGCCGCCTCTTTGTCGCGATTCGACTCAACCAACTCGTCGTCGGCCGACAAGTGAGTGGTCGTCGAGAGTGCGCTGTCGTCGTCGGCGGCGGCGATCGCAGCGGCGGCCGAACCGTCGGACAGTTTGTGAGAGAGCCGGTGCTTAAGCATTGTTACGTACGATAAGAAGATTTTGTGACAAATACTGCACGAAAACGTGCGAAACCGAAACGACGAGCCCTTCGTCGGGGTTGTTGTGGCCGACGATTGTGTCCACTCTTTCTTTACACTGTCTTTGCTTTCGTCGCCTCTCGTCGTGTCCTCTCGCGACTCATCCGTCGCGTCTGAATCCGAGTGTTGGCCTCCAGACGACTGGCCATCAGTTCTGTGGCTTTGTTTAGACTTTACGAGTTGTTCGGACGACTGGAGGATCTGATCCTGTTTTGTCTGATCTCTCAATAGTGTGAGAACTGTGTCTTCGATTTGACTCCTCTGCGCAAAACACACACAAAATAGCGTTAAAATCATTGCATTATTTTTAGCACAAATTAAATGTCAAACTCTTTACCACTGATAGGGAAGAGGGGGTGAAGACGAGAGTCGGCGGCAGATCTGTGTTGAGGTGTTTGGATGCGGTGGCGGGCGAGCCGTCGGCGCCGTCTGTGGCCGAGTTGTCGATCACCTGTTGCTTCTTGTCGTCAATTTGTTGCCGAATCGGACAAATACTTTTGATGTGTTTCCTATAATTAGCCAAATATGTGAACCCTCTCTGACAGTACGGACACGAGTGGTGTTGAGCTGAAGA